GATTGTACAAAAAATCCTGTTTGTTTTAAACTTGTTCTCTATCCATCTCTTGCAAAATGTAGGCATATCCTGTCTGGCAGCCGCTGGTTTTAAAAAAAAAATCAGAATCAACATGCATTGTCATCAACAAAGGGTGACAGTGTTCTAATTTTAAAATCTTGAGGTCTCATTTTAGCACTATAGAATTACTTTCCAACTACAACATTGTGAAAGATGGATCTTTAATAGGAATATCAGTCCAAAAATGGTTCATTATGTAGAAATTTCATCAATAAGCCTGCCGCCATTTTTTGTCCGCGACAATTTATTGCTAGGCCTTTAAATAATTTATTAAATCCAATTTTATACAGGCTGGAACATTATCTAACATTGTTATTTTAATTTCTTAATTACATGAAAATGTTGAGTAATCAATCTGAGTACATATATTAAGCCATGAGAAGTTTGTTATATATTATAGCTAAAAATGCCAGTGGCATACCAGGAGTTTAATAGACCTAAATCTCTATTAATGTATTATGAATGTATATAAACTGATTTACATTCAATAATTAAAATTTTTATTGTAATTTCTAATCAGTTATGTTCAGCGAAATGCTTGAGCAGTCCAAATTGAATGGCAGTCGCTTGCATCTGGTTAGTCTAGTCTACATCAGGCATATGGTGTGATATTTCACTTACGTTTTGCCTCGTAGAGAAAACCGCGTTGCAGACTGGTTTTGAAATTTTAATTCTGTCTTAAATATTTGCTATTTATAACACCATCAATATTAAATTCTACTTTATGGTTTTAATATCGAAGATCATAGTTGAGTTAGATATTTAGCTACCTTATCTTTAAAGTCTAACAACACACAAACACCCCGCACTATATATACTAGAGTTTATTGTGCATTCCAATAACATCTCTACCAATATTGTACAGTAATGTACATGTAAGGTCTCAGTGGCTAAACAGTAGTCAGGCATGTTAAGTTGGTTATTAAATTGATTTATATTATGACTCATGCTTATATTTAGTATCCTGTGAAACTTGTTGACAAATTACACAATATTTGACATTTAGTAAGGAGACACAGCCTCTCTCAAGCTCTCTAGTATAGTCTGCTTAATTTAAGTGGCTTATAGATTAGTTGTCAATCATTAATAAAATAAAAAGAATTTCAAGCATCCTAAGGATATTTTGTTTAAAAATGCACAATTAATTTTATTGTTCATTAAAGCAAGAGTTATATAAAGGAACATACCAGCTAGGAGGAAAACCCTGTTATGTTGGGTTTTATATATTTTATATTTCTTCCTCCTGCCATCTTTATTAAAGAATGAGGCAAGTGGTTGTATATGTATATCAAATCCTGATTTTACTATTCAAATATATATAGGATTCAATTTTAGGAATGTTTTGGAACTGTTTTTTGATTTCTTGAATATACAAATCATGCAAACCAAAATATTTTGTTTTAGGTGCTTGTTTATTTTTTAAGGGGTACAGTAATACTACATGTATTAAATATGTGTAGTTAAATTCCATCAGTTTTTAATTTATATCCAATAGGGAATACTAAAAAATCAGTTTGGAAAGCATTAATATTAATGTGAACGCGCCCCAAAGTTGCTTGTAAGTGAAAGTGACAAGGATTGGGTTCTCTGGTCCCTACCCACTGACATCCCTCCCCCCCGATCGCTCTCTCTCTCTCTCTCTTTCTCTATCATATATGTACTCTCTAAGGTATACAGAAGCTGATATCAAAGCTGTCCTACTATATAAAATCCATCAACCCATTTTAATACTGAGTATAGGTACTATACTGCTGAGCTTCAGGCCTTGTCATTCTTGCTGGCTGTCATCAGATAACATGACAGACAGTGAAAGATCTAATTTTGATAATTGACAATGCTGGTATTGGATATTGACTTACGGTTTCTAGGATTACAAATAGAATATTATGTGTGGTGGAATTTTCTGTTTAACTTCTGCACATAGATATTAGCTCATGCAAAAAGTGGTACCTGATGTTCCTAGAAAGAGTAAGCATTTTGGCACAATCTCTCTTACTACCAATCTAATGAAAGTTATTATTGTATCTCAAGTCATCTGTTTTTTGTTCTGATTTTCTACATAAGATCTAACATATTCAGAGTGGTTGATGTGTTATGCACAAGACTTTAGAAAGTGCTGGAGTTCATATATAGTTCTTGATATGGTTTGGGCAACTGCACTTTCATTGGCTGTTTACGGTACACAAGTAAGAAAACATAACAATGCTAAAAATTGTCAGGTGTTAAGTTGAATTATGTCCTATATCGTATATAAACGCAAAATTTAAATTAAAATTAATCAAATGGTATGTCTAATTCGTCTGAGGTATTTAAATTTCAGCCCACGGAAAATATCGTTTGTTCTTTGTAGTTGGCAATTGTGAGTGGAAAAATAACCCTGGTTTTTAACCCCATGTCATAATAATGTATAGAAGGATTAGTAGCTAACACTCAAAATCAATTCATTTACACATGCTAATAGTATTACATTTAAAACACACGTAAAATAGTCAGTTTCTAATCTGGATAAGATTAGAAATTTAAATTAATTAACATTTTTAGCTGTGACTGGAACTGGGCAAGATGCAGTGGTGCTTAACTTCTACCACCAAATTTGCTTTTGGAACAACAAGCGTTTTTTGTTTGTTAAAGACACATTATGTAAGATTTATATAAAGAGGTGGTCATTCTCGCTCTAACTAATAGTTTAAAAATAGATGTTAATTAAATGAATACTGGTATATTGAAAATTTTAGTTAAAGATACATTATGGGAGATTCGATAAAGAGTTGGCAGTTCTCACTATAATATAATGTAAAGGCAATTTGCTGAAAATTTCATTCAAATTGATCCACTATGAACCGAGAATACATGTATCTAAGGCTATTAAATCTTGTTTAGAACATAGTAATTTAAACATACATTATGCAGGAGCTAAATCTGTCTATTGCAGGTCTTTCTTTAGGCTTGAAATGTTATCTAAATTATTAATTAGACATTATTTACCTATCCAGACCATAATCAATTGTCAAGTACCATAGCTACGATAATAAACAAAGACTTGGTTATCCATTTTACCATTAAATTATTAAATAATGCAGTTGTTCTAATCCATTTAATATCTTGGCTATCCGATGTCTCAGGAATTGATTATGTAAATATGCAAGAGCTAGACATTTATTAACATTAAAAGACCATAATCATCTGATTTGAACCTGATCTGTGGTTCAACAGCTGTTCACAGAGGGCCTGACGAGGACAGTTGTCTAGTCATTTGGATGGGAAGAAAAACCAAGGTCCCGTGTACACATTGGCGTGCACGAAAAAGATCCCTTGGCAGTTGGAATTCGATATAAGAGTAGGCCGTAGCGCCGCTGCCCGGGCAAAGTTTCCCTCATAGCACACTGCATGGCGTATGCTGTCTTCATTAGCCCAGTTCGGAGCAGAACAGTAGGATGTTAAACCCCATTTCATTTCATTTCAACAGCTGTTCATGATTTACTGTAAAAATGGATAATCAAGACATTGTTTATCACCGTAACAACGGTAACAATGACAATCAAGGCTACAGTGTTTTTGAAATGAGGTATTCTCTGCTCAGAGTGAAGTAATTTGACTGAAATTTTCAGCATATTCTCTTTACATTATCTAGTTTTTAACTGTTATAGCGAGAACTGTCAGCTCTTTATATATTCTTTCATAATACCACTCTAACTAAATATTAATTTATATAAATTACATTTAAGCCAGAAAAAGACCTGCAATAGGCAAATTTAGTTCTTACATTTTTATTCATCTTAAGGGTTTATTTATAGTTAGGCTAAAGTTCAGATAAATTTAAGGGAGCAAGATGATCTTGAACTTTGTATTAAATCTGGGCTTCGACAGATTAACATTGAAGAGATTTTAACACTGATGATACTGTGCAATATAGATTTACCTATAAATAAATATATATTTTTTTACATGGCACATCAATATAATACATATGTACATGTACTTAATGATTTATTTACAATTGTATATGAAATCAACAGCTGTTTCCTGTATCTGTAAACAATTTGAACTGATGCACAAAATTGTATACATACTGTACACACTGATAAAGATAAAACTAAATATTTGGTTAATATCTAGAGAGAGAGAGAGATAAAGGAATGGCATTTTACATCCACTGAAAACTACTCGGGTCATTTCAGGACTAACATGGTTTAGTTTTTAATTCAATATTTCGCTTGCATGCAACTTTCTTTAGAAGAAAACCCATTAGGGTATACATGTTTTAGACCACTTGGTCATTATAACCACCTGTAATATAAGTACTGTTCATTGATGGTGTCATTAAATTATTCAAAAGATGCTGGGATGGCTCACATGATAACTGTGAGTATAGTGTTGGCTCACTAACCAGGAGATCAGGATTTTCCAGCCTTTGGTCCACTTGTCAGTGGTGTAGGACTGAAAGCCTGGCAAGGTACAGTGTCTAGTTGATACTCTGCATAAATCAATTTTGGGATTGGGGGCTAGTGCTTTTTGCTATCTGAAGTATTAAAATTGTAAAAATTTTAAATCGTTAGAGAATGACTTTAAAAGAGCCGTTCCAGTTATATTGACTGTAAGTTTCCAAATTCCATACTGTGTAAGTGTCTGGATAATCGTGTTTATTTACTGACAAAGTTAGAGTGGTAAGTATTGCAATTATCAAGACATACAAATAAAGAGTAAAATTCTTGTGGAAATCATTTCCATATGGCTCAATATTCTGAGACAAAATAACAGGCAATATTGTATCATTTTAGCGTTGGGTTTACATACATAAACTCAGTGTACTGGAAAATATGGGACACCCCCTTTAAGTTTTATAAGAAAGAGAGAGGACACACTTTAAGACTATACCTACTGAACTTTTAGTCCAACATTTTCGCACCCTGGTTTATGCAACCTGGTTTTTTTTATTATAGGAACATTAGATGATGAATATACATTTAACTATGACATCACTGGAAAAAAGAGAAAAAATTCAGGTATTACCAAACATCATTTATTTCAACATTTCCATAAATAAATGTCCATTAACTCTAAGAAGACAGCACCATTGGAGTGTGTGTGGTTAAGTCCCTTGATGCACACATGGGTTTGAATCTTGTATGGGCCAAGAAGAACCTTCAGAATGTCTTAAATGCCATTGTCAGTTCATATGGGACAAAAAAAGATGTCAACCTATTTACAAATTGGTGTGCAAATCGGTAGAGATTGGCAATGTTACCAAGCAGACCTCTGTAAAATTAGTGTCTGGATAACCATGTCTGTAGTTGAGTTTATCATGTCATTCATTACACGACATAAATGTAAAGAATACATGTAGGCAAATTCCTTTATCTGAGATATGTAACCCTCTTAAGCAGTGGATAATGGGAATAACAAAAGCCCTTGAATTGTCTGAATCTGCCACAAATACAAATTTGAGTTTTTAGCACAATTTATGTGTAGAAATGTTAGTATATGTAGTCTATGCTATCTAGAACACTTGATAGCACTTCTCAGAAGAGGATATCACTTATTTGTATTTTTATGAAATGTCAACTATTTTTTTTTCAGACTCTTCTGATTCCTGCAATGGCCAAGGTCAAAATGAACTTGAATCAAGGTCACCAAAAACCACTACTGGTGATAATATAAAAACAGGTAGGTTTTCTAAAAATGTGAGCAATTGCACTAAACATTAAATTCTTGGATCCATCTATCGTTAATGGCAGGCTAAACAATCCTGACAAGCTAGATTGATTTTTCTTCTTCAACTTCATTAGCTTTTACAGAAAATATCATGTAAATGTGTTATATTCTCGTTCCAATGTCAGAATTGTTTTAACTTCCAATTGAGAGGTAGCAGAATACTTCTTATTGGTAGATGATGCCAAAGTGTTATGAGTCCAACAAAATTTGTGAGGATTGGGTAGTCGCGTAATCTAGATATGTAGATACATGATCAGTGCAGGTGTTAGGAATTTGACTCAGATTATGGTCATCTGCCTAACCGTGTGGGTTACCTCAACTGGTACTGCTGACCTATGATAACACCCATGTGATATTAAATGGCATTTCTCATTCTCTCAACAACAAAAAATCACATTGACGTGGGTTTGATATTGGATGTTGAGATTATTTGTCTATTTTTTTGAGAAGTATTTAATCAAACCATAATTTATGTCGTTTCAGATCCTACTCCATCTCAAGATGAAGAACAAGACAGAAGAGATGACTTTGCTACACCAGTTAGTACAGAAACTGACAAACGAAACCGATCGCTGGAGGCTCTATTTGTTGTCACAGATAATGAGCTACAAAATATTTCACGACATGAACCAGAAATAGAAAACACAACAGATGAAAAGATCTACATAATCAGCGACATGAGTGGCGTTCAGGTAAACGAAGAACAAATTGTATTCACCGAAAAAGAGGAAACCCTAGTTCCAAAACCAGATACAAGTGGAACAACTACAGCAAAATTCCATTTGAAATCAGAAGCCCTTGAGCAACAAGGATTAAAACTAGTTTACACAAAGCAAGCCTCAGAGTCGAGCATTGTGCCATATTTTGTTGATACCAAAAATAAAAGATCAGAGACATTCACAAAAAGTCAAAGTGAGGTACTAACTCCATCACCAATGGAAATGCCACTTAATATATTGTCCGTTGGTAGGAAGAGAAAACACCCGCAAAAACCTGGAAGACATATTTGTTCATATTGTGGACGAGGATGTGCAAAACCGAGTGTTCTTGAGAAACACCTGCGAGCCCACACAGGAGAGAGACCTTTTCCATGTTTAGATTGTGGTTTCTCTTTTAAAACTAAAAGTAATTTATACAAACATTGTAAATCTCGAGCGCATGCTTTAAAAGTGAGTCAAACAGAATCAGTGGTAGAAGAGATAGTTGAAACAGAGGCCAATGAAGTAGAGATATCAGATGAAGAGGTCACAATGGCTGAATCCGAAACAGAATCAGCCAGCGATCAAGAAGACCCTGAAAGATTGAGGATGGGTTTGAGTATGGAGGAGCCTTTAACCCAAGTCCAAACACCATCAGATGATCCAAACAATCTTTCACTGCAACCAAACTTCAAGAAGAGAGTAGAAGTAGGTAAGCTCATGGAATGGAATAAAAATATAGAGAAGCAAGAAAAACAGAGAACAAAAGCTATGCTGGAAGCTCACAGCCAGTTTCCTATTAAAATAGCTCCAAAGAATATTAGTGGGTTAAGTATGGATTCCCTACAAGTTCCTGACTCAGAACCAAGACCCAGGTTGCTTTCCCAAAAAAGCAACCCTGAGTATTCAGTCTTAGCAGCTGAGGAGAATTTGGGAAAATTGCCCAGTCTAGCAGAATCAAGTTCCTCGATAGTTGTTAGTACTTCAGCACGGACTCCTGGTTCAACTAAAGGGTTATCTTTACCGGTAGTCATGAGTACAGAGACTAAAGTTCCATCAATCAAAACTAGTGAACCTTCAATAACCATAACTACTGAGACAGTCAAACTTCCTCACCCAAGACTTGGTCGTGAAGCCGCCCAAAAAGGTTTGAGGGAGCTTGAGGAACTTACTACTAAGCTTAACTCCCCCAGTTTCCAAGGTATTCAGATCTCCACCTCCTTCAATAAATTACCAGATGAGTCTATGGAGGTTATAGTTCATGTTGCCAAATCTGCTCAAGGTCAGGTAACTGGAAAATCAGAGTTAAAACAAAAAATTGAGGCTTTAGTGTCTGCTACTTCGGTTGCTCTTGCTACTCAGCCAACAACTCCTACCCCTGTGATAACTTCCTCCCCATCATTTAATCGAGCGGACTCCAAACAAGGAATGTCTTCAGAACATATTAAAGAACACATTCAGCATCTTATATCTGCAAATGCTGCCATTGTGGATATGCCTATTTTAGATGCTCCTAGGCCGAGAGCAAGAAGTATTTTCCGCCAAACCAGTGAATTACCAGGAACTTTGAAACCAGATCAAGCAAAATCCGACCCACCAAAGATTTCTATACCAAATATTGTGTCAGTGCCCTTGCAACCACTTTATCAGTCAGAGACTTTGTCCAAAGGTAAATCATTGAGTGGAAAACCTTTGTTATCAACTCTTTCTTTACCTAGCAGCACTGATATAATGAAAAAAGAAAACCTTGCAAAGAAAACAGATCAGTTGAAAAAATTAAATGAAATAACTGGATCACAAACTCTGAGCTTGACTAGTGATATTACAAGAGCTACATCAGAAGGAATAGCTGGATTTTCAGGACTGACTGTCCCAAAGACAAACCACAATCAACTTGAAAAATCTAAAACTATGGAGGAACAGGTGTCTTCGTCTGCAAGTGAGTTTAAGATACAGATAAAGCTCTCAAAAACACAGAGCGAATCAGGTGGACCAGTTGGAAATCTTTCTGTTGGACATACCTCAGCCTCAGCACCTAGGATCCCTTCTCCTATACCTTCAATCACAATAGACAGATCAGCAGGTTTTACACCGAAAGAGATGCTTCTCCAAAACAGATCCATATCCTTTGACCCGAAGATCCTGGATACCAACAAGGAAACCGAAAACCCTTCAATAGTTGTTCAATCTGACATATATCCTCTTAATCTTTACAAGAATGTGTCTGCTGAAGAATTTTCATGTCAACAATGTAAAGATTCTTTTAAACATAAAGAAACCCTCAAACTCCACAACTTATTTTACTGCTCTTCAGAACCAGACAGATCTGCAAAATCCAATCCAGCTTTTGAGCAAATTCAAAAGATCCTGATTGCAAATTATTTTCAAAAGGGCGTGGCAGGCCTGAAGAGATCTGTGTCTTTACCAGATGGAAATGTCACAAAAGTGAAACAACTCACAGAAACTGAACCTTACAAAGAAAGTCAACCAGTAAAGCAGCAAATGTTACAAGAAAATACCCTAGAGAAAATAAAGTTAGAAAGTCTTAAACCAAAATCAATGGAGCTCAAGTGGATGGAGATGGATAATCCGCCCCTGATGATTCCTGGAGGACCATACACTGTGGATCAAACACCCACAGATTTGACAAAAACAAAATATCACACTGTTAAACCAGCTGTGTCTACATTAGCTCCAACTACTCCAATCTTACTTGCCCCAGCAGGTCATGGCTTTAACCAGTCCCCAAGAATACTGACACCTACATCCATTCCTGTGCTACTAGCCTCCCTTCAGTCAAGACCAGTGCTCCTGCAGCAGTCAGCAGTTTTATCAGAGCCAGGTCAAGTTCCAACAACTTCAATTTTTAGATCAAGTAGCCTGGCCATGACTTCTCAAAATCTATCCATACCAATGGGAACACGGTCCCTGTCTATGGGAACTACTTCCCGTACTCCAAGTACCCCAAGTGGATCTTTCCAAGCAATCCTACCTAACACCAATGTTCCAACCACTTTAATAGGTCAACCCATGATTTCTCCTACACCTATTTTTGCCAAAAACTTACCAATTTCTATGGCGGAAACAAGCCAGTCTCAAGCTGTGGCTGATATGAAGATGCGTCTAAAAGGAAAGCTTCTTTTGAAGCGTTCTATGAGTGCTGAAAAATCTAAAGAAGGATCGGTCATAGACACCATGTCACCAGGAAGCAGAACTCCTGGAACCCCAATCACAGCTGGTCGTCTTTTTGGAGACAATAGTAAGCTTGCACAACTACTTACTGCCCAGGCTAAGGAGAGCCAACAGCATTCTTCTCCAGCAAAGCGTCCGAAACTTGGGGAACTAAAACAAATGAACTCTGGACAATTAAAGGCAGTTGACTTCACAGACATAGACCCCCCAGCTTCTTCAAAGCTGAGTAAATCACAATCCAGTTCTCAAGCAGATCCTACAGGAGCTCTCAAGAAAATAGACCTTAGCTCCACTACAAATTCAAGCTCTATTCTGTCTCTTCAGTTGTCTAAAAGTGTAGAGGATAAAGTGGGAACCGTTGCTACAGCAATACTTATCAAGGAAGGAAGTTTAACTGAAGGGGATTCTAACACTGTTCAGTTCTTCACTGTGCCTGTGGTTATGGCACAGCCTTTCTACTCTTATACAAAGGGTTTAAGTTCTGGATACAGAAGTAACTTAAGCCCTGGATCACACTCACAAGTAATAACATTAATTAGTCCGACAGCATCAAAAGCTCTACCTGGATCCAAAACTGTGAAAGAATTATTGATTCAGAAGTCCCAAGAGCTAGCCAAATCTCCAAGTTTAAGTCACAGATCATTTGCTGAAGCTTTGCTAACACCCTCTGCATCAGCACCAAAAGCCCTTCAGTATGACAAAGGAGTGAACTCTAATACAACACAGCAGTTAAGAGAGAAATTATCTGGACAAGTTGAGAAATCCAACCAACTAAGTCCAAGAAAATCTGATGTCATAACACCATTGACTCCAAGGCGATCACCGCTTCACCTGTATGGTCATTTAATAGCAACTTTACGAAGCACTACTCACGTATCGTATTGCTGTGTCCAGCGTCCACAGCCATTTTATGTACCAATTTCTACAAACAAAAAAATTTCCATGTATTCAAACTGGAAAGCAGCTCCTCACAACCCAAATCCAGTAGGACTGTCTTCCAAGGATCTGCTGACCTTGTACAAGTCTCGATACACAAGTAACCCTGTTTATGCCGAGGGAGGTAACTCAGTGCCAAATTCAATTGGTGGATTTGTGACTCACAGTACTTACTGGACCTACCACAAACAGAGAGAAGGCCAAGAAATGAAAACTGCTTCTCACTGGCGTGAAAGAGAGAAGGGAGAGAAGGTTAGCCAGAGCACCCTAGAAAAAGTTTTGACAAAAATAAGAGAAACCACTCCAGAGGAGACTAGAAAAGAACCAGATATCACTAAGCTTACCAGGACTGATACTGGCAAGAGAGAGAAGGTTTGTCGAGGTGGGTTTAAAACTGATGAAGAGTACACATATATTCGTGGAAGAGGGAGGGGAAGTTATGTTTGCGAGACCTGTGGTATAAGATGTCGGAAACCAAGCATGTTGAAGAAGCACATACGGACCCACACTGATCATCGTCCCTACCATTGTCGTCATTGTAAATTCTCTTTCAAAACAAAAGGGAACTTGACAAAGCATATGAAATCTAAAGCCCATCAGAAGAAATGCATGGAATTGGGCATAGTTCCTGTACCCACCTCTGTTGAAGAGTGTCAGATTGATGATGATGAGTTGGCTGCTCAGATGTCAGCAAGTAAGGATTTATGGGTTGGTGTATCATTAGAAGATGAAGATAAAACTGATGATGAAGATAAGGATGGGGATGATGACCAGGATGTTATATCATTGGGTAGTGATGATGAAGATGATGAAGATGCTGGAGCTGATTTTGAAAGGTAAGCAAAAGCAACAAAATCCATTATTTAGGCTACACTTTTGGTGGAAACCCTGGGGGTTTGGATGACCAAATGGTTAGCACGTGCACACTGTATCATAACGTCTGTCATTGAGTCAATTGGCGTGGTTCCGATTCCCGGGCTGTACGTGACAAGGAGTAGGGTCTCCTGTCCAACCTTGTGGGTTTTCTCTGGGTCCGCCAGTTGTCTCCCACTGCTAAAGACCCTTAAGTGCAAGCAAATTATTGAAATATAATTGAACCATCTGTTAGTCCCAAAATGATCTTGTCCCTCTCTCTCTCTCTCTCTCTCTCTCTCTCTCTCTCTCTGAAAGACAAAGGTCATAAAAGCATTATGGAAGCAAGTGAATGACTTAAAATTCCATTTCATTCCTATCCATGCTTAATGTACATACTTTACCATACAGGTTCAACTCTCAGGCTTTTATTGAAGAACAGCAGAGGGATGCTGCTTCTCCTGTTTATGTTGCTGTTAAAACATCAGAGAGCAATCAACCAGCTTTAATTAAAATAACACAGAAAGGCATTTCATCCAGGTAAGAGTTTCTGTGTTACTTATTGTCACTAATAAACACAGTGACTTGTTTCATCTTCAATGTTAATAAATGTTGTAACTGTAACCACCAGAATGTCAGTTAAAGGACAATATTGGTGTCAGTCCTTATCACATATGTGATAGAACTCATTAAACACATTCCAAATATAATTTTAACACAGAGATCATTGCTACGACAGATGCGTAATAAAGGTTTCTACAAAAGGAAATGACGAACACAAAAGGAAAACACAAGTTATCCTTCTATATAACTGACTGAAGTGATGAGTGATAACATATACACAGGCGAATTTCTGCTCACTAACAATTACTTCAGAGACCAATGGTTTGGAATGTTCTTACTTGGTTTTATTTTATTTTTATATTTACACTGTAACTATAATTGAACAGCTATTTCAAGGCAGAGTGATTTGAGGGAAGTTCAAATTCAAGACTCCCCTGACTTGAACTGCCAAGGAATATTATTTGCTCATTAAAAACAATTTAACATTTTTCGCAGTGGTTACTAAGATAAAGTAAATGGTTTTATATTTCAGACTGGGGACTGTTTATGGATTTGAGGGAACATCATATGCTGATAGAGCCCTTAGTCCTGATACAGGTAAGTTTATTTTTCAAAATATTAAGTATGAGGTGGAGAACTTACAATGTAGCAATAAAGGTATATTATTTAAATATATTGCAATATTTTGCTTCTCTAAACATACTTTTGCTTTATCAAGATAAGGATCATCAAAGTTTATGTTTCCATGTCTTTTCCAATAAAAGGGTTCCCGCGTTTCCTCCCTTGATTCCTTTGCAAGATGAGAGCCATGGTGGCTCGGTGAGAAAGACATCGGATCGCTAACCTGATATTATCTATATATCAACCCCTAATTACTTGATAGAAGGTTGATATGAGGAATAGCCACATTTAAACATCAGCAGATATATACTCTTCAAAAAAAGTAGGGGATATTCAGAAATAATTCAAAACTGCGAAAATGCACTGCTGTTTTTATTAGAGGTAACCAGTGTATGTTAATAACAGGCCAATTACCTACACATGAACATAAACAGTTCATATAGGCGGCTTATCTGACGGCCCATTTCACTCGCAAAGAGATACACAGTCAAAAGTGAAAATGGACGTTTTTGATTTTTGTCTTAATAATGAGTAATTGCTCCACCAATCCTCAGACGTTCAGCAAATCGTTGTGGCATGCTCCTAATCAACTGTCCAATCACGATTTGGGGCAATCTGACCCACTCCTCTTGTAGTGCCACGGTCGATCAAATTAAACGTAACACACTAAAGCAAAGATACGCTAAACAGTCAATTTTATGCAAGAACCGATAAGAATGCTAACATGGATAGATAAACTAGCACGCGGCAGTTTTCATCAACCCTTCCTTGAAGTGTCAAATTTGACAATGAACCCCTCCCACGTGTATGGCGCTATTGCGTGTCGCATGTGCAGCTCAGTGGTTCTGTTGGGGCAATAAGTTCTTCATCAAAGCATGTCAAGTGTCCATGACAATATATCATATCACAACCTGCATAGGTATTTGCATTTCAATATCCCCTACTTTTTTTGAAGAGTATATATAGACTCTAGAGGTGTGTAAATTGGTATTATATCATATAATTTGGGTGGTATATCACAACAACTCTATCACAACAGTATATTATAGAATCAGTTGCCTTATAAACGTTCATTTCTATTATTGTAAGTAGATGAGGGTATGCTTAACATGTAGGTAGATGAGGGCATAATTTTTATGTCTGCGTAACATGAAAACCAGTTATATGTAATAGTATCTGTGTGATATGAAAGGGAATAAGATATGGCATCTATTTCTAATATAAGTAGTGAATGTTAAAGATGCATTATGTAAGAATTAAATAAAGTGCTGACCTTTCTTACTAAACTAGTTAAACAATAGGTAATAGAAAATGAATAATTGAAAAATTCAGCAAAGTACTCAATTCTAAGCTGAGTTAATAGTGTTTGAAGTTTTGACAATACAGTCTTGATTGTCAACCACCATTGCTGAAATAATAAACAAAGTCTCAATTCCCAATTTTTACAATTAAATTATTAATTGGCAATTATGTTTTAATCTTGAAATCTCAACGGTCTGATTGTCTAGAGAATTGATTATGAGTTTGTCATGTTAATAAATGCCTAATGAATAATTTATACAACAATAAAGTAAAAAATAATACCTCTAATAGGCAATCTGGTTAAAACACATCCTATTTCGTTTCGTTTTTATAGTTCAAAATTTCGTTTTACTTGTCTTTACTACACTTGGATCTGGAAGAGTTGTTATTTAACTCGTGTTCTGAATAGTGTCAGGGATAAGCCAATGAAACGGTCTGTTACAGCGAGCTTTAGGCGTGTCTTTCATGGAACTGTGGGTAATCCACTAGTAACATCAATGCTGATTGGTTAATCAAATGTCTGACATCATAGGGTCATAAGTCGGTCTTTTGACCCCTGACATGACCTATCACTATAACTTGTCAGATCTTCATGTAGGCCATCGAATGTATAAAAAAACAAAACAAAATTTAGATCTGTATTTTAATCAGATTGCTGTAATAGGCAGATTTAGCTCTTAATTGATGTATCTTTACATTTTCTTGATTTGGGCAAACTGCACGCAGCGATCCATCTACGTCATTATGATCACTGCCCCAATTAGCCGCCATTTATAACGCCCACATGATCATTTTGGGGAGGGACTTATCGGCCGGACTAATGCTTTGTGTACACAACAGAGTAAAAATAACCCGAGCATGCACATGTTTTATGTAAACACGTGTCTTTAGCAAAATGTAAACTTCTGCCAATCCAGTAAAAGCGATATATAATATGTACTAGTTGGTAATATTGAAATAAATTCTTTGCCATTGTAAACTGTCTTTAGAGTTTCAATCTGTTTATCTTTCAAAACAAGGTTAGATACTCCTAAATTTGTCTTCGCAAACAAAACCGCCTCTATGAAATTACCTTTTATGGGCGCCGCCATATTGAATAATTAGAGGACTATTTTGTGATTCGGCTTTGATTAGTTTGACATCTTTCATACTCACAGCGGCTAAAGAAATATATACTATTCAAAAAAAGTAGGGGATATTTGATTTTTAAGTGTTATTAAAGTCACCTAATGAAACTGACGAAGAAACAAATGACAAAATGAAATGAGGTTCACATTCATCGATTTATTCCAAATGATCGTTAGACTAAGTAAGGCACAGACTGACCATTATAAGGGTAAAATGATACCCGGGGTCAAACAGCAAAGTTACCACAGCATCACAACCAAGTCAGTAACGGGTAAATCCTCCTCTGTTTGCCAAACAAGCATTGATCCGACGTGGCATACTCCTAATGAGACGTCTAAGGTCATTTTGGTCCAGATTGTCCCATTCCTGTTGCAACACAGCAGCAAGTTCTTGGACATTGGCAGGACATTGTTGACGTTGACGTAACCTCTGTCCAAGCATGTCCCAGACATGCTCGATGGGGGAGAGGTCGGGACTCAGTGCTGGCCAAGGTAATGTGGTGATATTCTGTTGTTGGAGGTAACCTGTAACGATCCTGGCCCTGTGACATCTTGCGTTGTCATCCTGGAAGATGAAACGGCGGCCATGACGTCGTGCGAACGGCACAACATGGACTGCCAAGATGTTGTCCCGGTAGTACTGGCCTGTAACACGCCCTGCAACAACATGTAAAGCCGTTCTTCCAGCAACAGTGATGCCTCCCCACACCATAACACAACCACCCCCAAATCGATCATGTCTGATGACGTTAACGTCTTGGAAGCGCTCGTTTCGACGACGCCACACCCTCCTACGTCTGTCCAAAAAATCAACAGTGAACCTTGACTCATCTGAAAACATCACATTGCTCCAGCGTCGATTATCCCAGTGTTGACGATCCCTACACCAACGACGTCTTGCCTGAATGTGATGATCTCTCAAACAAGGGATCACGCGAGGACGTCGGGCGCGAAGGTGACCCCTATGCAGTCGATTCCGAATCGTCTGGCCATTCACTCTCACACCAGTGTCTGCTTGAAGACGAGCGCTGATCTGATTTGCTGTGATGACACGATTTCTCAAGGCCAAGGTACGGATAAATCGATCCTGGGCTTGAATTGTCGCCCTTGGTCGACCTGAGCGTGGTCTGTCCTGTACAGATTGTGTATCACGGTATCTGGACCATAGCCTGCTTATGACAGACTGAGAAACATTCATCGTCCGCGCCACAACCGCCTGTGTTGTGCCGATCTGTAGCATGCCAAGGGCACGTAACCTTTCATTTTGGGTAAGCCGACGCATATCAAAATTTGTTTTCTGGTCACTAAAACAATTAAACTGATGTTTCCACCCAAGAATTCAATGCCACAATGACTGTAACATTCAAAGTCCGAGTCGTGCAAATCTTGGGTTGGACCCCCATGATGATCCCAAGCATCACCTGCATTCCATGCGGTAGCTATTGGTGCGTTTGGGCGTCACATGTAACTGGAAATGTTTCTTCTGTTAGGTTCTATAGTGACTTTTTTCGTAGTCATTTGCATATTTTAGTATTATGCCCCCAAAATCAAATATCCCCTACTTTTTTTGAATAGTATATTTAATTTCATTCAATATGACAATAGAAGGGAAATAAATACTTCGAAATTACTAAAAGCATACTCAGTGTTTTCGACTAAAATCGTCGATGTAGGAATTAAAATGTCGGGTAATTAGCTTAGGGCCTGTTCTCAGGCTGAGCTAGCTGTAGACAGGCAGCCTAAGTTTGGGATGTGGTTTGGGCTGTAAAAATTTTAGTTATAAAATACTATTACCTGGATAGCACGAATGAAAAGATCTACAAAACAACTTGCTCAAGTTATAACCTGTATATGATAGATACTTTTTAAAAGTGTTTCCACTTTTCTTTCCATGTTAGTCCATTGAAATTTAACGTAATATAATGGTCACATGTTCCTGTAGCATTTGCCTTATTTTAACTTTTACAAAGGAAGCCTATATTTCTCCACATAAGTTGTATTGACCGACCTTTATCAAGGTCAGCCCCATGTGACCTTTGTATACAGGTTTTATTGTATATGGTGTTTAAAATTTTCTACAGGTTCAGATTCTACTAGAAGTCAGAATATAGACACAGAGATAGCCAGGAGTCTGTTAGAATTGTCTAAAAAAGCTGAAACTGATGATAAGGGAGAGAAATATACAGATTTAGGAGAAAAGAAAGGTAAAGAAAGTTGATCAAACTTCATGTATATATAATAGATTGTATATATGTTGTCTGTGTGTGAGTGAAGCTTGTTTATGTTGTGTATATCCAAATGCTATCTCAATCTTCTGGCTCCCTGATAGATTATCCTGTCATATGGTAGAGGCTACCATCATGGAATGAGTGTCTGTGATTGCAGTGGCGGCGCCAGCCATCGGTGGTTGGAAGGGCAAAGCTGGGGCAACTAGGGGTGGGGGGTGGGGTCTCCCCAGAAAATTCTTAAAAACAGGTTGCCGGAAATGCGGCCTGGCAGTATTTCAGGCACTGATCGTTAAGTTAAAGTGTCAAACGAACGGACTTGCGAACCTCGACGAAGCCCACTCACGAGCGTCAAAGTATGGAGTCCTTACGGAGGGTATGGGGGACCTCCCCTAGAAAATATTGAAACTAGATTGCCGGAAATGCTGTCTGACAGTATTCAGTCAGACACCGATCGTCAAGATAAATAGATCTGACCAGATACCGTCCGTCGCCTGGTCACTAGTTTATCCAACCAGAGAACAAAATGTCAAACGAACGGACTTGTGAACCACAAAGAATTTCCCTTATGAGCGCCAAAGTAGCGAGTCCTTGCGGGGGGGGGGGGGGGGTTATTGGGGACCTCCCCAAGAAAATTTTGAAAAATTGACTGTCGGAAATGCTCTACAACATGCAAGTCTATGACTGAGTGGCGATGTGGGATTTATTCACCGTAGAAGGTACTGATTAGCGAAACGTACCACAAATACTTTTTTTTATTTTCTAAAATTATTGGGGGGGGGGGGGCAACCAGGGGGCAGACCAGATTTATTGGGGGACAAATGCCCCCCACCCCCCTGGGCCCTGCCACTGTGTGGTTGTATAATATTATGTTATCTCTGAGCATAGGTATAAAACTCACTGTCCCAAAAGCCTGTGGCAGTAATCTCATATATACACTTGGGGGGTTGGGTGGCTGATTGACTACGGCATGTGCATTAAATCACAAGGTCTGTCATTGACTCAAGTGGCGTGGTTTTGATTGCCCGCTTGTATGTGATAAGGAGTAGGGTCCTCTGGCCAACCTCGTGGATCAGGTTCTTCGGTTTCCTCTTATTGTGCTAAAGACCCATACCTGCAGGCGAATTATTGAAATAAAAATGAACCATGTGTTAGTCCCGAAATGATCTGGTTTGTATCAAGTGGATGTTAAGCTTTCTCTCTCCCTTTCCCTCACTCTCTCTCCCTCTCTGCTTTATGATATTCGCTTATTCAAACTATAGAACCATGCTTAGCAATTTCCTGGGAATAGCATTGGTCCTAAGATCCACTAGCAGTTTGAAACTGAAGGATAGACAGAAACATTTTTATTACTGATATATATTATTTTTGTTTACAGAAACAAGGCTTGGTAATTTAATTGGAGCTTTAATGTCAAGGACAAAACCACTCTCTGGCTTACAGCCCAAGGAGGATAACTCAGTTGTCTTAGATGTGGAACCTAGCAGAAGTCTTCCTATGCGAGGTTCTTCTTCAACATCCATTATCATAACAGATGCAGATGAGGAAGATGTCACTGTAAGTTGAAATCATAGTAAACTTTTACAGATTATATGTTAGAATTTGTCTGTTGCTGATTCCACTTGCCATGATTTTTCTTAATCTTCTTTCGAAACCTGGTTAGCCTGATGGATTGTGGTTGATTTTTATTGTCATGCTCAAAAGGTTTGATCATTAAATTGCTGGCTTGGCCTGACTGGATTATTCATGTTTTAGACATTCTTCAGTTTCTAATAATGTTGTATTTTGTGTCTGCAACAGATTTTGTCCTTTCATGTCAAATACTGTTGTTTCAGAAAAGTATCCACAGCCTTCCAGGTCCATTGTTGCTATAGATTATGGCTTTATTCATCCATTCCAAAACAAGAGTGAAAACCTACATAATTTAATTATTTTTCAGACAAAAGAATCCAAGAGTCCAGCATCAAATCCAACAACACTATCCACCATCAAGAGACCAAGAGATCTATTCCTGGGAGTTGAAGACCAACCTAGTCGCAAACGGTTCTTTTTACCAAGTTCTCCAGCAAAAACACCAAAAGAATCAATTAATCCACAAACTCCACTAAATGCTTCTATCCTATCATATCTCCCACCATGCATTTCAACAAAGTTAGGAGCCTCGAAAGCCTCTACGTATCGGGGACCTATAATAGGTCAACTCATACAACAAGACAGTGTAGTCATGACGCCAGTTGTGTCGTCTGCAGCAACTTCAGGTGGATTTCCGTTCCTCTTTAGTCATCCGTTTGAACTTTTAGATGTTTTACAGCAACCTGGAGACAATCCAGATAACTCTGATACTTCTGAAAAGTTGGTGCAGACGTCAGGGGATGTAACTCTATCAAATATTAAGTCGTCTAAAGAAGGTGCTGTTTTGGTCCAAAATTCTGGCGAGTCTGGATCATCTAGACAAGTGTTTTATATCATTGATGAATCGCAAATGAAAGTCTCAAATAACCAGACATTTGAAAATCGAAGCTCTGTGACATGTGATGTGTGTAGCAAAAGTTTTACAGATATAAATCAACTTAATTTGCATAAAAAGATCCATGTTGTGGAAAATACTCTTTGGTGTGATTTGTGTCGAATGAAATTTCATTCCCAGCATTCCCTCAATAAACATTTTCAATCGTTGGAACATATGAATAGACAAGCATCTGTCCAAAATGAAACATTCCCATCTGTATTAAAATGCATCCATTGTGGAATAGCATTCGGACAAACCGATCAATTATCCAAACATTTAAAATCTAGAAACCATTTTAAGGAACTGGAAAAACTCGGCATAATAAACCAAGGAATGTATGATAGTCTTGAACAGACAGGTGAACTTAACCAAATGGATGTTTCTGATCCAGAAATATTTTTCCGCGAACTTTTATTAAAATGTGATAAGATAAAAGAGAACGTTTCAAGTGCAAACACCATTGAGTCAAGGGAAACAACCCTGACTAAAGTTAGTAGTGTAGGTGGGTTTATGGGTAATAAGATTATTCTTACTAATCAGCGGAAAGGTTCGATTGGTGAAAAACAATTCTCACAGAGATTAGACTACGAAAAACATGATGGAGCATCGAATGAACGTGTTACCGTGGAGATAAAACATGAACCAATCGACATCGGTGATATCGGTCAACGATCTTTTGTTCAAATGGATGACGAGGAAGTGCAAATAATTGATCCATCTAACCGCTCAAAAACAATTCAGTCCTCTAAGGAACAAGGAGATGCTTCAAAAAAGAATGGTCCACATTTATGTGGTATTTGTCGGGATGGATTCAAAGATGTCCAAGAATTACGAGTAAGTGAATAATTATATTTTCTGCTGTGCCAACAATTAAGGCAAAATACATAAACATATTCTGGTTCTCAGATAATCCTGTGTCAATTTAAAAGGGCTGCTTGACCTGTTCCTATTTTAAAAAATAAAATATATAAACAAACTCATTAATTACCACACATAAATGCATCACCCTAGTTACAGGAAGTACATGTACATTGTAGCTCTATAAAAACTTTGAATGAATCCAGAAATGTAGCTTAGGCTCATTTATCCAGTACACATTCCAGATAAATGTACATGTAACTGACAATCATAAATGGTACTGGATAATCAAGATTCATACATACATGTAGTGCCTTGAAAATGAAATGTTATGTTTATGAGAAGTCATTTAGCCCAGTTGTGATCCTTTGACAAAATAAAAACACAAACTCAGAACCAGAATATTTTTTTTGTATGACCATGGACCTTATAATACATTTTTATATTTGGGATGACCCAATGTTTATTACTGAGTAACCTTTTATAAGAACTAGAGAATCATACTGTTCACAGTTGAACTTTGCTCAGTAATAAATAGTAGAACTTCCATAGAACTGTCTTGTGCAGTGACAGAATGTAAAACTGACTATGGGATACATGTAAGTCAGACCCAAAAGACTGATTAGCTTGGTACTTGTTAGATCAGTTTCATTGCAACAAAGACTGAACAAATATATTTTTGACATTTATTCCCCGTAAAGATATACTTTGACTGTTGCATGTGCCTGTATCTTTGATAAACTTGTCTATATTATTTTATTAAGAAAACTTCTAACAAAATGTAACAGTTGTACTTCATGTACATGTATGTAACTTACAGACTGAGTAACTGAAATGAAAAAAATGGGGTTTAGCGTCCTACTGTTCTGCTCCGACTGGGCTAATGAAGACAGGCATATGCCACAGAGTGTGCTACAAAGGAAATTTTACCAGGACAGCGGTGCTATGGCCTACTCTTATATCGAATTCCAACTGCCAATGTGTCCTGCACCAATGACAAGGGGGCACCATGCTAGAAAATCCAGATGATCTTTCTAGGTCCACACCGGGACTGAACATGGGACCTCCATGATGGCGAGCCAATGCTTTACTCACTGAGGAACCACTGCACCTGACAGAGTAACTACATGTAGCAAAATTTTTATTTTATAGACTGAATTTTTCTTTCTTTTTTTAATAGTTCTGAAAAAAACAAACCCAAATGAATGGAAAAATAAAAGCAAGAAAGACAACTATTATTGTCATCATACTGATTATGGTGTCAGACTAGTATTTCTCGCCTCATTGACTTCAATGTTTAATCAATAACATTTCTTGGCCTAAAACATTTTTTGAATATTCTAATTATATGATAAAGTGCAGTTTTAGATGTTACCAATATACTTTGGGTAATTGAAGTGGTTTTGGGTAGATCTGTGAACCCTTAGTTGGTCATTTTGTTAAGTGTGCCATGCAAGCTACATGTAGTTAATTTGATCTGACAGCAGCCGTTCCACCTGCTCTTCTTTATTTTAGAAGACTTGTGATTTATTGTAACATCAAAATTGAATTCCCAATTATATTTTATTTTATTACAGTCTCATATAATGACACATGCTGAGCTACGACCGTATGTATGTGAATATTGTGACGCCGGTTTTACTAATGCTCAGAGTTTAAATACACATCTACACACACATACACAGGTAAGGTATTCTTTTAATTTTATTTAAAGATGCATTATGTATGATTTAGGTAAAGAGCTGACAGCTATAATAGTTAAAATATAGATAATGAAAAGGGAACATGCTGAAAAGTCTTGATTGTCATAGCTACCGTTGTTACAATAATAAACAAAATCTTGATTATCCATTTTTTAATTTAATTATTAACCAACCGTCATGTGGCATGTGAATGAAAATTTAATTAATAATTTATAGAACCTTTGAGACCAAACGAAAGACATGCATTAGGCAGATTATACAAGGATATCCCGGTTCGATCGCAATGTTGGCCAGGAAACTTTCTCAAGTTAATCTAGCCTGGTTACCGCCTTTGTTAATGGTGTAGGACAAAAGGCCAGGAAAGACGCTTGACTGTTTGACTTCATTGAAGAGTAGGCAGTAATTCTACTCACTGGGCAAAATTTCCTTCATAATCATAGCACACTGCATGGCGTATATATGTATTCACTATCCCAGTCGGAGTAGGACATTAAACCCCACATTGTCCTTGTCAGGCCCTCTTTCCTGCACCACTGCATAGCAAATATCTGTCTTCATTATCCCAGTCGGAGCAGAACAGTTGAACATTATACCCCACATTGTTCTTGTCATGCCCTCCATATATTTGTATCTTCATTATCCCAGTTGGTGCAAAAAAGTAGGACTTGAAATCCCATTTTATTTTGTTGCTGTACAGACCAGGGGTCTTATATAACAGTCCATACGTGACTTCAAAGTACTAAAAATATTAATTCTTTTAACTACTTGAAAAGGTTGTTATCATCATGTCAATTTACATAATATTCACATGTTTTTATATATATATATATGCTGTTCTTAATGGATGTTCAGTACAATAAAAATCTGATCTTATCTTATCTTATAGCTTTATGACAATCTGATTAAAACACAGATCCTATTTCGTTTCATTATTTTATTGTTCAAAATTTTGTTTTACTTGTCTTCACAGCATTAGGATCTGGAAGAGTTGTTATATAACAGGCGTTCTAGATGATGTGAGGAATTAGTCGGTTACGGCGAGTTCTTGGCATGCTCTGCACAGAACTGTGGGTAAACCACTAGAAACCTCAACACTGATTGATTGATCAATGTCTGACATCATAGGGTCAAAAGCTACTCGTATGGCCCCTTCATGCAGTAGAGGCCATGAAAAGTATAAAAAAAAAAAAGGAAACAAAATATAGATCTGTATTTTAATCAGTTTGAGGTTTATGGTTATTCCATTATTGCATAGAGTGAGTGACATTAATGATTTGTTATATTCTCTGTTTCAGGAGAGACCATATGTCTGTGGAAGATGTGGCGATACCTTTACACAAGCAGATGACCTTCACCTTCACATGTCAACACACTCAATGTTGCTACCAGCGAAACAAAGGGACCAATCAAAGTCATCACTTTCTCATATCAATCATTCAAATCTTAAAACTACTCTGTCTCTAGACCAATCAAAATTTTCGTCTGCAACAAGTCCACTTATCTACCAATCACCACTTAGACCAACCTTTTCTCTTGACCAATCAGAATCCACAAAAGTCATTGACCAATCATCTCTTAGATTTTCTTATTCAATGGACCATTCCAGTGCTAGTTCCAGTTTATCAACCCATTCTGATCAGAATCCTTTAGTTATCGACCAATCAAATGATAGCATAGATAATAATCTGTCACAGACTTTACAGGTACCAGTACCCAACCAATCAAATTCTGTCATAATAACAAAGGAAAGAGGTGAAGAAAATAAAGATAGTTGATTGGACAAGTGTATGTCAATGAGAACCAATCATACCCGCTAATCAATTGAAGTTCATGGTGATATTAAACTTAAAGTGGAAATTTAGTTTGTTGAAATGTTTAAGTTAAGCTTTGTGTTTCCGATGTATAAAAGTTGTGATATTTCTCCAGTTAGTGCTATTCTCTGACTAAAGGAATAATGTAATTGTGAAAAGGATAATTCTGTTCCACATATGTGTACCAAAATCCATTTAGAAACTGTGTCCCATGCTGTACAAATGCTAAATTTCTTTGTAACATGCATTCAAAACATTAACCAAAGATGGAGAGCTCTTTTCTACACAGTCTCTTTAAATCTTTGCTTTTTCAAACTCAGACTTATATATTTTTATGGGCACTGTCACGTTTTTGGACCTATGTGCACCACGTCTAACAAATGCTTGGATGACATCATATACATGTCACTGTGTGTAATTTTGTAATTGCTTATTTGAAGAACAGCAGCCTGCATACCGAGGAAGAAAATGTTGTTTGTAATACATGTAATTGAAATTTTGGATGTTTTGGTTTCTCTTGATCTTAAATATCACGAAGAATTGATTTCTACAAATGGCTAACTGTCAAAACAATACTGCATTCGGTTTAGTTTACATTCTTCATCAGAACAAATGAAAATTGACCGCTGTGATTGGCTAAAAACACAACCACACAAATCTGACTGTAGTGGAAATAGCAATATTTCTAATTGAATCTCGGCATGAATCCACCAAACTTCAAACTATGGTTTCTATTTCTAGCGTTGTGACGTCTCATGGTTAATGGCCTTTACACCTACATGTACACGCATCGGACAATTATATAATATTTATTTGTAGAGGAACTAATGTTAAATTATTCATATATGATTTAACCTGTATAAGCTGGCTAGCAACACGTCTCTGCCTCTAGTTTTAGGGCGAAGTTATATATGTGCTTGAACAATCATTATTCTATGACCTTAATTTAATAACACAAAATATAATATTTTGTATACATCAAGTCTCCGATATTCTGGAAGCAAAAAGACACCAATAAATTTCTGGACAATTAGACGGGTACAACAGCTTTGAGTTGGTGAAAAATAAAAGTAAAGAATTAATTAAATTTGATGTGCTCATTTGTTTTGTGAAGTTATGTATTGTTTAATGGTCGAGAGCGAGACATTAAGTAATATATTGTAACAACAAGAGGACCGTCAGGTCCGAGTGTTTTTACAATATATTACGCAATGTCTCAGCTCGAGACCATTAAACATCTTAAAATACAGACACTCCGCACGTGCGTTTACAGTGAAATACGTCACTCGAGTCTAATATTTGACAAGGTACGATTGGCAAGTTGCCCGTACGATTATTTGAAATAATGGTACGCCAACATCAAAGGGTGACGTCACATCTGTATTTTAAGTACATTTAATGATTTAAGTTCTACAGATAGAAACAATATGGTGATGCAACTGAATTTGTGTTTATCTGTCAGTTAAATCTTTCAAACTTAAATATGATCTATATAACGTTCCATAAGCTCCTTTAAAAATTATTCAATGAAAATTTTAAACTTTGTACAAGTGGTCTTTGGCCAGAACTTAATCACCTGTATTTATAGAAGGCTTAACAATCTACTGTTCAAGAATTAAATAGCCCGTTATTCCTCCAGGTCTGATTCCACTGGCATCCATCAAATGTTCCAATGAAACATTAATTGAACGAATGAGTTAAAACTCAATCAAAGCTTATTTTCATGTTATTGCTGTCTGTGGGTATAGATGGCCCATTATATTTGGGGGGGGGGGGGTGCAAAAAGCTCTTCAGATCTGTGTTAACATTTTTGCAACTCTCATTACACATTTTGTACATGAACCATTTACTGTTTGCTCAAATCTTGATGGGGACTTGATAGAACGTTCCGGAATTGAATTCTGTCAAACCCAAAAATAGTGACAATCGAGTGAAAATGGGATTTGGGGCTAGAATGCATGCGCTGACTGCATGAGAAAATAGCTCAACCAACCACCTCTGTTGTCCAGACTGACAGTACTGTGACAGGACTGAATTCTGTCAATTCGGAACATTCCGGACTGACAATCAAGCATCTCCAATGACTATTCTAAAGGGGAATAACTCTGCATGGTTTTAAATTGCATTTTCTACAATATATGTATTTGTATAATTGGATTTTAAGCCATTGCCAAAAATCTATAAATTTACTCCCTTACACATGTACAATGAAAAGGGTTTTTATGTCATCTTGTGAGATAGAATGGTCCAAATAGCACATGGTCTATTTCACTTAAATTTGTCCTACTTAATAGAGGTTTAGCTTATTAGAGGGTATTGACAAAATTATTGGAGAGATGTGAGACGTACTTGAAAAAAACATTGGATTTTTATCAATAATAGACTCTTTGTATGATTGTCATTTCTATGTAACACATAAAAATTTGTAATATTTGGACAAAGCACCTCATATTTTTCAATTTCTTAAATTTCTTACTTGGATATATTTGTGACATATAATTTCTGTTAATTTTGTACGGAATTTGTTATTTTTGTATCCTGTTGTTTAAATGTATTGCCTTGCCTAATCCGCCTGCCAGCAATTCTGTTGTGTATTTCATTGTTGGGAGATATTTATTGTCAGGTTTTTAATAATGATGCCAAATAATTTAAATTTGATTTCTCTGGGAACATGTAATATTGAGGCCACACCAATTTGGAACATCTAATATTATGCCACATCAATTTGATTTCCACTGGAAATATCTAATAATCAATTTGAATTTTAGTTCTCTTGGAACCTCTAATAATGAGCAACACCAATTTTATTTCTCTTGGAAAATCTAATGAGACCACACCAATTTGATTTCTCTTGGAACATCTTAAAATGAGGTACATCAATTTGATTTCTCTTGGAACATCTAATAATGAGCCACATCAATTTAATTTCTCTTGGAATATCTAATGTCAAGGCCACACCAATTTGATTTCTCTTGGCACATCTTAAAACGAGGTCACACCAATTTTATTTCTCTGGGAACATCTAATGCCGAGGCAATACCAATCTAAATGTTAGTCTTCAGAAACACCTATTAAAGCTCTTTGCTTCAACATAAAATACTTGGTTGTTATTAGTTCCAAATGTTGAAAAAAAACCCACTCATTATCCATGTGAGTAAAGAACTAAAAATCAAATTATTTTTTCTAAAAGAAACATAACCTGTCATATATTGTTGAGAGTATTGATTCTAAATATCTTTTTAATAAGAGTATTCTACTTTCATATTCAAAATTAAATTTTCTAAATATTTTGATGTGATACATTTTGGTCCAATCCCATTAGATTTTCACACAAGTCCATATATGTTCTACATCTAGATTTTTTGCCCCCCCCCCCCCTATCCAAATAGATGATTCAATATGGAAAATCATTGGCTTACTAATATGGTTGAGCATCAATTATTCTCTAAAAACCATGTCATATCATAAGGTCTGTCATTGAGTCAACTGGTGTGGGTTCAATTCCCTGGTTGGACGTGGCAAGGAGTAGGGTCGCCTGTCCAGCCTCGTGGATTTCCTCGGGGTCCTCTGGTTTGCTCCCACTGCTAAAGACCCATATGCGCAAGTGAATTATTGAAATAAAATTGAACCGTGTGTGTTAGTCCTGAAATGACCATTTCTCTCTCTCTAAAAACCATACCGGGTCCATATTTCTTTGCATTTTACCCCGTCAACATGGATATCCAGAGTTAATAAAACTGTACTAACCTTGGCATTGCTTAATAAAGTCTTTATTTAATCTCTTTCTAGTCTAGTATACTCTTTTTAAACGATTTGATGATGATTCCCAACCCTCAAATGTTATTGTTAATATGTTAATTGAATTGTTTGTTACAGGAAAAAGCCTAATTCGTGCTCTGCTTGTTTGTGCAGATGTTAAAAACTTCATTATTAATGAAATAAAATTAATATTAAGAAAATTATTTGACTTAGCTTTGTTTTATTCTTATTCTATAAAGCAGCTTTTTTTTTTACCTATGATTAATCATCAATGGAGGCTTATGCTTACTCTTTACCTCAGCCCATGCATCCCCATACTTCCCAAAATGCTGTACTAGTGGCTTTTTCCAACATGATCTAATAAAATAGTAAGTTAAACTGAAATAACTTAAAAGCCTGTTTAAAACATCAAACAAATCTACAGTCAGCATCAAGGGCAAGGCCTCCACTAAGGAACAAGTGAATAAACTTGAAATTAAGCGCACTTTGTTGGTGGGTGTTTTTGTTTTGTGTGTGTGTGTGTGGGGGGGGGGGGTGTAAGGTGTGTTAAAGTGAGGTGTGGGACAAAACAGGTTGCGGAACACTGGCTGTTGCCCTATAGCACCTTTCTAATACAAGGGTTGAATCGGGGGGGGGGGGGTACAAATCTGATGCTCAGATACGAACTGTTTTAGATTCAATATTGCAATCTTTTATTTGAGGCCCATGACCATGGATTGGTTTAGTGGGAACTTCTTCTCTTTATTATTAGAAACATAGTGGCTCAATTGGTTGTGGATCATCTAGTTGAGAGGTATGTTTTTATTTGCCATCATCCTCACTAAATCATTTCTCTATTCCCCGTACCGTCTTCATTAGCCCAGTCGGAGCAGAACAGTGGGACGTTAAACCCCATTCGTTTCATTCCTATTTTCTGTATATTTCACAGTCTACCAGCACATGTCTGATGATGTATTCTTCTACCTGGTTCAACATAGGATAGTCCACATTATACAGTCGCATAGTGCTTCCTAGGTTAAGCACGTCCGGGCAAAACTCTGTGCGCTTAATAGGCCAGAGTTCCGCTTTTCGATACTAGGGCAGTTAGTTCGTGTGTTGTTGTTTTTTTAAATAGTTTGCTATGATGTAAATCTTATATCTAATTTCCTTCGTAAATTTATCAGGAATACCAAATTATTAAAAGAAAGAAAAAATACAAATTCATTGATTTTCAAGTATTTTGACAGTTTTGTCATTAGAATTTCCTTTTAAGAGCACAGTTTTCTCCCTTCAATCAAAACACATGCCGAATAGAATACACAATTCATCAGGTTTCATTCCCAACCGAGTGGGTATATGGCCAACAGTGGTGACCAATGCCATAATACTAACTGGAAACGAAGAAAGAAATCTTCAGTATTTGATTAGGCCTAGTCGGTTTAACATAATTATAATTAATATTTTTCTTGTATTTCATTTCAGTAAAAGCGGACTAGTGTGTTTGTAAAAGTGGACAGGTGTGTATGTAAAAGTGTGTGTGTGTGTGAGGGAGAGAGAGAGAGAGAGAGAGAGAGGGGAGGGGGTGGAATAAATAGTGTCGTCATCCTCATCATCACCATCTAGAGAGTGTATGTATTTCGGGATTAAAATACGGTACATTTTTATTTCACTACTTTGATTAATTCCTTGGGCATAGACGTCTTTAAACGCGGGACTACATGGAGAAAATCCGCAAGGTGACGTACAGACCCGATACTGAATCCATGTCTTGAATAGATAACAGACCTTATCATCTACAGCGCAAGCGTTTGACCCCCCCCCCCTCTTAGCTTATGTAACTTAAAGTGGTACATTTAAAACTTATTATATTTATTAAATGGACATAGTTATATGTGGATTCTGTGTCGCGAAGGTAACATGACTAATGACTTATCGGCATCATGCATTGAATAACAGGATCTCCATAACTATAATGGGGGTTAGTTAGAGGTCGTTTATACTTTTCACAGACTTTCAGCACGGCCAAGTGACAGATAAATAGTATAAATGGGGTTTAACGTCCACTCGACAAAAACTAGATCATTTCGGGACGAACATTTGGTTCAATTTGATTTCAATTCGCTTGCGCGTACGGGTCTTTAGCAGTGGGAGGAAACCGGAGGACCCTGAAAAACCCACGAGGTTGGACAGGCGACCCTACTCCTTGTCACGTACAACCGTGGAATGGAAACTACGTCAGTTGACTCACTGACAGACCTTATGATACAGCGCGCACGTGCTAACCATTTGCCCATCCAACCCCCCGTATGTAAAAGCGTACTAGTGTGTATGTAAACGTGGACTGGCCTGTATGTAAAAGTGGACTAGTATGTAAAGGCGGACTAGTGTGTAAGTAAAAGTTGACCGGTGTGTATGCAAAAGAAAACCTTGAAAAAAATTGGAAATCGAAGAAGAGTTGGCGGAAACGCTGTTGTCCGGGCAAAATTATATCTCATATTACACACACCCTCCCTAATATCACAGTCTACCAATGGGCGAAGTATTGTGTTAATGAGCTCCCACCCCCACCTCCCTCTCCCTATAGGATAAGACCCATTGGGGACTCGTTCTAACCACCCGGGCTACGCTAACGGTGGTTAGCCATAGCATTATCAAGTCTCTTAATATCCCGGTAGAACGAGTGCGTTAGGAGATCTATTATGTGGGATTCCTATTTCACGCCATTACAGTTATATTAATATGAAATTGTATTTAATTTTATTTTTTTATCAAATTTACCTGTTGGATAAAAAAAAGATATGTTTCTATGCTTCGCTCCGCACACTTCGCTTGCTCAACAATTCTATTCACTTTAATTAGTTACTTGAGAGGCGGTCGAGCTCATCCAGTCATCATTTAACTATCTGTGGTGTCAAAGATATGAAAACTACAATAAAATTCAAATTTACCCCAATTCCCACCAGCATGGAGTCAACACACTTCATCAATTTACATGTCGGTAATTGCTACGATATGACTTCTTGGGTAATGACGCTCTCGTGGGGATTTTTCTAATGCCATGTTTCGATTGGTTAATTGGTGGCGTTGAACGACTGATTTCGAATGATGTCCCCTGATAATGGCAGATTGACTATGTTCCGATTTGTCATCGCGTCGCGCCAGAACATGCATCTTCTGAACCACCTGTTTATTGAATTTGAGGTGACATCAACCGTGAAAGTAATTTTTAATTGAAATATATTAATTCAATTATCATGTTGGTGAATTTATTATTGGTTACAAGAAAATTTCTGAAGATCATTATTAGTTGATTGACTGGTAAGGAAGTGTCTGAGCGGGGAGGGGCGCAGCTCCGAATAGTTATCTTAACATGTGAGAAAGAAGGTGGAAACCGGAGTTTGTCAGAATAAAGTCCCACAACATCGAGGTCCCACAAATTAAATGGTAGGTAACGTAAAAAAAATATCTTAATTAACAGTTGGAACTTGAAGAGAGGTAAACACCCCCTTTCCCCAGTTAAATTTCATAATCAGTAAAAGTTATTTAGAAAATACTAATCTGGTGATTATTTGGAATACTTCGTGATTTCATGAAACTAGATATAAAATTGATCTCATAATTTTGCCCCCCCCCCCCAATAATTCGGTTTACAACCACTGCGAATATTACCTCGATGCCGAGCTGTACACTTACAATTAATAATCCCGAGAATGGAAATGAAATGAAATACATGTATTAACTTCCTAGATTTCTGCATCAACCTGCCTAATAAACACGGCCTTAACAAAGAAATTTTGCCCGGGCGACGGTGTTTCTACACGGGACCCCTGCCAGCAATATTTTTGACATAGCACACAGTGTGGTGTCTTCAATAACCCAGTCGGTGCAGAAAAGTAGGACTTTAAACCCCATTTCATTTCATTACTTTTACTAACGCCCCCTTTTTCTCCATTGGAAATGCATCGTGCAACACATCTTTTATAAAATATCTGACAATATCCCTTTAAACCGCATTCAATTCTGTTCTCTTGGGGACTTATTTAATGTGGCTAATCTATTAATACAACTATTTCAAGTAACATACAAAATTAATGGACACAACTAATGTGAAAACTGAAAAAACGAAAAGAAAGAACGTCTTCTAAAATATTTATACGTCAATTTATGAAAACGGTGTCTAATATTCCCTTTTAACGTGTTGCTTTCCTGTGAATCCATTGGAATGTCGATTTCCATTCTATGCGGGGAAGTCAATGAATCATATTGGCGCGCGTTCATCTTTCAACAGCAGACAACGTATTATGACATCTGTAATGGAATTGAAATCAATCACAGTGATTGGTTGGTTGTTTACAACGTTTGCCTGCGGCCATATTTTATCCCCGCGTGACTCACACGTGACTTGTTAACTTTAAGGGTTTCATTTTTTTTTGGACAAAAATCTATGGTTGAAGGTTGGACCATTTCTATTTAAATTCCTTACTACCACATAAACAGTTAGAATACACACACATAGTACACAGTGCCGTAAATTTTCGTCAGATGCATTAAAGATTTCAGCCGAGGCGATGGGGTCCATCATACTAAACTTATGCTGTCTGTCTACAGTTAAGAGTGTATCCGCGAGAAGACCATGCAAAAATCGGAAAAAGTGCTAAGATGGGGGGGTCGGAAGTTTTTGATCAAACTTATGGTATGACACCCCCTAGGGGCAAGAGGTAACATGCTGAAGTGGTTACAGTCTGATGTCGCTCTAAAGGACTGTACAGGAATTATTCATTTTATGGGTAAAATTGCGGTTTTCACATGTGTATTTATCACCTTTTTTAAGCGCAGACTGCATTCTATGGTGGAATAGCAACCTTCTAATTTTGACCCTGTCTGATAAAGCGGGTGGTCAACTTCTACCCCAGCACTAATTTGAAAAAAAAAAATCAGTACATACTAATTTTAAGTGGACTTGTTTTAGGGTACCATATTCACATTGTCCTTATAGTGCAGAAAAAGATACACTGTAACTTTTTCTTTCATGGTCGCAAGTAGAATTTCTTTGGATGGTTTTGAAGTGCTAAGCACATAGTATCCATAGGTGTAAAAAAAAATGACCGGAATGCAACATACTTAAAATATACAGCTTATTAAAAAGTGCTAAAAAAAAGCTTTTGTGATACATTTTTTTGCGAATTTAATTAGAGAAATAAAATTTTTGACT